CTCTGAGTTTCAACTATTCCCTTCTGCAGGGAGCACAATCACATTTGGGGGCCTCACCACCTCCGATAGCTCCCTCGGCTTGCAACTCTCCCCGCCAGCCGGGCTGGTTAGCCGACTGGCTGCGCACGGCACTGCCCATCTCCAGCTCCCCGGCCAGCTTCCCCGCGTGAGACTCCAGGTCCGACTTGGAGACGGTCAGAGCGCCGGGCGGCTTCCCTTCGGCCAGCTGGCTGCTGCCATCCATGCTGAGCACCCGGGCGTGGGTCTTGGCGCTGATGGTGCTCCCGGTGCGCTGGGCGTAATGGCAGGGCTTGGGGGGCAGCGTGGAGCTGTCCGGCGGAGGGGGAGGAGGGGGCTTGGTCTCGGCCACGGGGAGGCTATGCCGGCTGTGCTGGGCCGGGGCGTGGCGCTCGGGAGAGTAACAGGAGGTGCTGGAAGAGGTGTCCGAGCTGTAGTTGTGTTGCGAGTGCAAACTCGAGGCCCGGCTAAGGTCGCTGCAGTCGCTGGAGTCCTCGTCGGCGAAGAACCCTTCGTTGTAGGCCTTGCTATCCAGCAAGGTGAGCATGGGCAGGTAAGTGCTGCCGTGTTTCCGAGAGAGGCGAGGCCGGCTCTTCAGCCCCAAATCCTTCGGCCGGACGACTTGCTCCGGCTTGGCGGCGCCCCACACCTCGGCGTCCCCTTTGACCGTCTCCAGGGAGTTGAAGGTATTCTGGGTGTCGAAGCTCAACTCCCCCAGGAAAGCCAGCTCGGGCGAACGAATCAGCTCGCTGTCGGACAGGGCGTCTGTGTCGCTGCCGCCGTCGGCCGGGGGAGGCGAAGAAGGCCCGGCGTCCTCCCCCGGGACCCCCTCCCCATGACCTTGCCCCAAGGAGGGGCTGTCCAAGTGGGTGGAGTTGGTTTTCTCGCTGCGGTAGCTACTCAAGGTGCTGGGGGTCTCCTTATCGGTGCCGCTGAAGCAGCTGTCGGACGAGCCGGCCTTGTGGGGCCCGTCGGGCCGGGGCTCCAGAGGTTGGTACGCGCCTGCGGAGTGGTGCTTCTCCCGCCGGCTGTGGCTGCTGGACTCCGGCAGGGCCAGGCTGAGAAAGCTGTGGCCAAGCTCCTCGCTTAAGCTGCCCTTGAGGAGCGGGCTGAGAGGGGTGTCCCCCACGCTCTCCGACTCGCTGGGCGTCCAACGTGGGGCCTGAGCCCCGTCTCTGCCTGGGGGGGATTGCTCGGAGGAATCGGTGCTCTGGACAGAGGTCTGAAGCGGCAGAGACGGGGGCTGCTTCCGGAGGCTGGAGGAGGGGTCTCCTCTGGGAATCGAAATCAGGGTGGGCTTGGGGGCTTCCGAGTCTGCGGAGGGCGCTGGAGGCTCGGCTAGAGAGAGAAGACACAGTTAGGCTCACATTTCCCCCAAAAATGTGAAGGTGAAGGAGGGGAAGAAGCCAATTTATTAGATTTTTATATCCTGCCTTTATTAGTTTGATCCATAAGGGAGTAAACATAGTTAAATACTCCTTTCTCCTCCTGTTTTCACAACAACAACCCTGTGAGGTTGATTGGGTTGACAGAGAGTGAGTGGTACAAAGTCACCCAGATAGCTTTCATGCCTCAGCAAGGACTAGAAGTCACTGTCTCCTGGTGATTGGTCCAAAGTCATCCAATTGGCTTTCATGCCTATGGTAGAACTAGAACTCACCGTCTCCTGGTGATTGGCCCAAAGGTATCCAATTGGCTTTCATGCCTATGATGGAACTAGAGCTCACCATCTCCTGGTGATTGGCCCAAAATCACCTTAGGCTTTTGTGGCTAAGACAGAACTAGAACTCATAGTCTCCCATTTTCTCCTGGTGATTGGCCCAAAAGTCACCAACTGACTTTCATGCCTATGGTAGAACTAGAACTCTCTGTCTCCCAATTTCTCCTGATGATTGGTCCAAAGTCACCCAATTGACTTTCAAGCCTATGGTAGAACTAGAACTCATAGCCTCCCTTTTCTCCTGGTAATTACCCAAAGTCACCCAATTGGCTTTCAAGCCTATGGTAGAACTAGAACTCTCTGTCTCCCAGTTTCTCCTGGTGATTGACCCAAAGTCACCCAATTGGCTTTCATGCCTATGGCAGAACTAGAACTCTCTGTCTCCCAGTTTCTCCTGGTGATTGGCTCAAAGTCACCCAACTGACTTTCATTCCTATGGTGGAACTAGAACTCACCATCTCCTGGTGATTGGCCCAAAGTCACCCAGCTGGCTTTTGTGGCTCAGACGGGACTAGAACTCCCTGTCTCCTGGTTTGTAGCCTAGTGCCGTAACCACTAGTCCAAACTGCTTCTCTTTTTACCTTTTGAGCCATTTTCCCCACCTTGCCTGGCGTTTCCTTCCTTTTCCAAACCCATTCGCCAAGTTTCTAGGACTCACCGTGACTCTCCGGGGAGCAGCACTGAAGCATCTCTCGGTCGGCGGCTGTCACGATGACGTTGTTGCTTCCCTGTTCTCGGACGAGCTCCTTGATATCTGTGGGAGAAGATCTCGGGGTATGATTTCGTCCACTTCCCTCCTTTCTCTATTGCTCCCTCCTCGACTTACGACCACCACCACCCCAAGCGAGTTGCACCTGATTCTACAATCTCCTTCCCCACTTTGCTTAAGGGCAGGCACTACGGTTGTTAAGTGGGTCGTTTGGTCATTAAGGGAAGTCAGCCACTAGACTTCGCTTGGCTGGGCTGGGCTGGTCGCAAATTACGATCGCCTCACCCCAGGAGGCTGCAACCGTCGTAAATACAGGCAATCCTTGAGTTATGAAGGTAATTTAGTTTAGTTTATTGTCATTGCACTTCGTACAACGAAATTAAATGCCGTTTTCAGTGGACATTATAACTATCAAAATAAAAAGACAAACACACCTCCTCCACATGCTGTAGAATTGAAAACCCCTGATATTGCATTAATATTGCACTATACTATAGAATTCAATATAGTTACTTGTTCTGACCCCCCTCGTCCCACACCAACACACTCCGAGCCAAAGATATGGCATTTCATTAACAGATAGAC